TTGTCATAACTTGAGCTGTCTCAGAACCTTCTGCATCGCGACCACGGCTGCCCCCGCGCGTTATACGTAATCCCTCTCTGTAGACCGTGGATCCGCGGATGCCCGACCACGGAACCGCGTGGCCCAATACCCCTCTGCCAATTCCGCTCCAATGCGACGCTCTTTGGTTCGAACAATGCCAATCCAAGTCTCTTTCAGGTTGATTGGTTGGTTTGGAAGTTCTAGAAAACACGAGGTGAAGTCAAGCGGAACCGATGCTCGAATCTTCTCGTTCTTTCGCAATACCCACGCTAAATCATTCTCGGCATCAAGATGTAGATGCTCTAAGCCCCATTGCTCAGTCAGGTCCATGCCGTCTATGAGGTCTGTGAGGGCGACCAAATCGTTGGTGTCGAGAAGACTCTGTGCGAATATGTCTAGTGTTGGGTACGGGAGACCCATCTGGCTACGCTCAATATTGGGAGATACGCAGTCAATGTGCGCGTCATCCGAGGGAATTAAGGTAAAGCACATGGCTTTGCCTACGACTTTGAATCGTGGGAACGTGTGGAGTAGTGATCGCAGGGCGGGTGGGCGAGGCGGATAGGTTTCGTAAATCTCGGCTGAATCTAGAAGTGCGGACGCTTCTTGTAGCTTTTCTGTGGGTACGCACACCTCCCAGTCCTAGTTCTTTATGTGAGCAGTTTAATCGTTGAGACAAGATAGACAACGGGCCGTCATTTAGCTTACCTTGCGTACCCTCCCGGCGCCGTAATAGATCAGGGCGGAGATACCAACCAGACAACAGATAATGCCAGCTCCACGTAGTAGCTCTGTAACTTGTAGAATTTCCAAAGTGCCATGCCCTCCACAACTTGGCAGCTCATCGTCGGGGCTTCTGTTTATGCCAGCGGGGTCATTGAACTCCTCGACGGGGATCGGTTCGGGAAACGACAGGTGAGTGAAATCCAGCTCCTGCTCCTGCTCCTTCCCCTTCCCCTTCTCCTCAATATCTTGTTCCATGCTAGGCTTTCATATGCAGGCTGGGGATCTTATGGAAGGGTGGGTTGAGAATGATTAGAAGGGGTTATGGCACACGCGCTGGCTCTCGTCTATTCGATCGCGGATTCAAGAAGGCGGTCGGTGATAGGGCACTAGAATCGCAAGTGAGAGATGCCTGTGTTATAGCGTAGCGAAGTGAACTGCACTATGTGAAGGTGATGCTTGTGTCGGACGCGCGACCGCGGGGCGGTTCGCTAGCATGGCAGGCGGCCCGCCCGTACCCGCGAATCCCCACACCACAAGCGTACCTATGTAGCCAGCAATGGAACGCCTTGCAGGCTCAACACACACACACTGCGCAACACAATAAGAAGCTCGAACATTAAAGAAGCCCTATTCTGGAATCTGTATAAAGGGCAGTTTCTTATGTGATTAAGCATTTCACGAAGAAGGTTGTAAAGCTGACCTTGCCAACCAACCTTGGAAGCATTTGGCTTTCCCCGTCAATGGTCTGCTATGTGTATGCACATCTCGTAGCGACAACTAACAAGACTCAGCATGCTCTAGGCGAGACCACAATTATTTATGTCAGGTCCGTGTTCTCATCATGCTACTTAGCTTGAGTAGTCCCGCCTATCAATCTTATCTGCCTGAAGGCTAAGGTACAGCTCACGACCTTTCCCGTTATGACTTCCGACCACGAAAGTTCTTGGCACTCATCTTCGTTGCCACCTTAAGACAGTCCGCGTCATGTGGTGATTTCGCAGCCTGCCCAACCACAGTAATTCTTGGCACGAATAATCACAGCCCTTTGAAGTGCTACTTAATCCCCTTCACCCTCCCTGCTGATTATTCGAGGGAAACATCTCATCGAACATCACTACAACTTTCACCTCAAACCCTTTTCAGACTTGATTACTAAAAAAGGACTCTTCGATGCTCTATACTTGATTGCGTCTAATCTTTCCACTTTTATGCCCCTAAGAAAAGGATACTTAGATAGACTACAGGCCTCGGAAGTTGACTTGAAGGCCAAGGGATGCTCCGTCTTGGTTACAGAGGCATCGTCTTCTCTAGGGCGACAATTTATCTCCCATTCCAATGCAAATACCGGCAATACCCTCAAATAGTATGTTGCTTAGTCAGTCTACGGCCTCGCAGTCCTAATCACACCCAGCTGTCTCCCCTAACGCAACTCCTCCGGATGAATCCATCACCAACTCTCAATGGTCTAAGGAAGCGCTCTTTGGATTGCTCGGTGTTTTGATCGTCGTACTCATCCCTTGCGTTGGGTTCGCGTTCAAGACCTGGCTCGCCAGACGTCGAGGCATGGGCTTGTCGAGAAAGTATTCCTATAGTACGTATGCGGAGTACACTTTGTCGATGCGGTGCTGACAGCATATAGGTGACAGCGATTCTACTGTAGATCATCCGAGACCACGACGAGGGAAAAGAGTACAATACAAGAGGGCTCGAAGCAACACGGTCATCGTAGTTTGCTGACGCTTTGGTGATGGGTGGGTAACAACGGTGCTGGCGGTACGACCGTAGGAGTGGGTTCGTGCCTTGCAGATAACGCAAGAACATCGGCGTTGGGGACTTCTTGGCTGGACTTTCATCCGCAATATTAGCGCAAACAACGTATGGAGTCTTACTGGCATATATTCCTATCCGATCTCAGTATCAGGGTATCATACGCAACCTTCCTCTACATCCCAGCCGGTGCCGCGGACGAAAGCCTGACAACCTGACCTCCATCGCCTCCAGCCTCTTTCTTCCATCCGAGCACCTCGTCCTTGTTCCTCTCCTTGTTGACTTCCCACGGGTTGATGAATCCAGCGCTCAGGTTACCCGTCTTAACACCTTGGATGGCCAACTTCTGCTTCGCCTGCGCAATGTACGCATTCAGATAACCTTGGGTGATGAGACTGCCACATATACACTCCAACTCTAGTAAATCATACTCGTGGGTATACGGCTGTACTCCTTCCATGCCGATAAAGTCCGGGTCGATGTATGTCGATTTGCTTGTTGATGCATGGTCTTGATAGATGTGACCAAAGTTGCGACGGCCGGGGCCACGGTCTTGCGCGGCCATTGCGGCGTTCCTGATGAGCGAGCGCGCTTCTAGGAAGCGAAATACAAGGACAGCTGCGTTGAGGTCGAGCAAAGCAGCCGATTTCGATGCTTCCCCTATGCTTCCAGTAAGGATGAATACCTTGCGGAGGAGTGACCACCATACGAGGGGCTCGCAATAGTTCCCGATTGGGTAGAAAATACGGTATTTGATCATGAATTCGGCACTTGGGTGGGAAAGATCCAGGTTCGTTATCCGACGGAACGTTTCGAGGTCTCCCCTACGAATCGCACGACACAGCGGTTCGAACACTTCCCGGAAGCCCACGCATGCAGGGTCGTCGTAGATGAGTTCGTTTGGGAAACGACCGAGGAGTATGTTGGCAGCGACAAGGCAGACTGCGATTAAGCGGCGTTGCTTTGGACACTGCCCGTGGCAACCTCTGTATGCTAGCTCCAGAACGAGCTGAGCTCCGTAGAAGTTGGTGTTGCTGAAGTGGTACCGCCCGAGGTAGTAAAGGAAGGTAATGCGCTCCGCAGCCGGGTAGATGTGTAATGGTGGTGAGGAGTTCGATATGTTGTTGAAGATGGTCTCGCAGCTCCCCAGCTTATCGGCCTGGAAGAGGGTCTTCAAACATATGTTTGCCATCTTGTAGATTCCAACCTTCTTCCCGTCAGGCTTACCGTCCTTAATACCTCCGGGTACAGTGTTGCGGTCGTTGAGACATATAATGAAGGCCTGTCGCACGATATTCGCTGCCCGCTCTGGCAATGACTCGCTTTGGCCATCCTCGTCCGCGTCGGTGGTGATGAGATGCATCGTCAAGTCCGGTCTCTTCTCTAATCCAATCGCTACTCTTGCAAATACCTTCGCATAGTACATGATGGTGGGAAGCATCAGAATGCCTTTGGTAGGATGCTGCAATGCGCTATTTGCTCGTCTGGAGTCGCGTTAGCATGAAGTACTTTGATGGGTACTTCCATCAACATACGACTGGAGATCTGTCATCAGCTCGAAAATCAACACAAGATTCTCTGCGTCCATGTCTCGGAGAAAGGTCATCCATCCGACAAGGAAGGTGACCAGCGAACCCCATGACTGAATAGGTCTGCCCTCCTCATCCTCAGACTCTGCAGTCTCAGTGACGACTCGCCTGACAAGATCTTCGAGACGTTTCTCGGACTGTTCGTTGTTTGCAGGGTAATTCTGCTGCAAGGACTGGATGAGCTCTTGATGGTCTGGCGGGAAAACATTGCCTTCGCCTGGCTCCAGCAGTACGATGGACTGCAATTGATGCGGATCTCCGGCTTGTATCGCAACGTTAACTGCCGTGCATAAGCGCGTCTCTACATCGGGTTGACCCCGGAAGAACGACATGGCTACAAAAGCCACCGTTGGTGGTTGAGGAAGGATTGAGCTAGAGGGTGGAGCGCAAATAGAAGGAGCTGCCCGCTTTCGCACTAGCGTCAGGTCCTAGCTCCAAACTTCGCTATCCGCCCCATCCCTGTCGACGATCCGGACGAGGCCTCTCATTCGTTCCATCAGCTTGGGTCGACTTTGGCTGCTAGGATACTACTTGGGAAGCAGTAAACGTGGGAAGATTGACTTTCAATAATTTAAGGATACTTTCAACTACCCATCTTGTCAGCAGGCGGAATTAAGCCAGCCCAACGATGGCTCAGTGCTGTTAAAAGCAACGTTGCAGCCCGAAAGGCTTTCACATGTCACCTGCAGGACAATGCAACGGGCCCACCGTGACATCACAAGTCGTAATATGCGAAACACAACATCGGAAACTGCACGTTTCCGCAAGGCTCCGTGTGAAAAGCTGAACGTCACGTAAAATGGATCAAGGTCATGCATATCAAGATGCCGCAGCCATCTTCTCGCCTCCGTCTCTCCATCTCCCTTCTCTCCCAACGAGAGAAAGTCATCCGTCACGATGGGCTACTTCATGAGCTACATCAAATACTTCCTCACGCACCCTATCCTCTTCATCTACGAAGTCATACAATATTTGCTCGACTTTGTGCTCTCGCCAGCACCGCCGCCACCACATGCAAACCTCGTACGCCCTAAGATTGCAGTCATCGGCGCGGGCCTAACAGGCGTATCCGCTGCATCGCACATCGTCGGCCATGGCTTCGACTGTCACATCTTCGAAGCCGGATCCAAAAAGAATCTCGGCGGAATTTGGAGCCGGGTGAACAACACGTCTGGTCTGCAAATCCACTCGCTCATGTACCGATTCCACCCTTCGGTGCACTGGAGCAAAGGATATCCGGATCGCCAGCAGATTGTATCACAGATCAGGTCCCTTTGGGAGCGATATGGTCTTGAGAGTAAGACGGAGTTTAACATACGTGTTGAGAAGGTGTACAAAGATCCTCACGGACGATGGATCATCAACGACCCCTCTCACGGACGATTCGATGGCGTCATTGCTGCGATTGGCACCTGTGGTGACCCTAAGATGCCAACACTTCCCGGTCAAGAGCACTTCAAAGGCGAGATCTGGCACAGTTCGCAACTTGACGGTAAAGTCGCCAAAGGAAAGAAGGTCGCCATTATAGGCGGCGGTGCCTCAGCCGTCGAAGCCCTTGAATTTGTCGCCAGCGCAGAAGCAGAACACGCCAATGTACTGGCTCGATCCGAGAAATGGATTATTCCGAGAAACCCATTCATCGACAGTCTTCTCGCTTTCAACATATTCGGAATGGAGACCATCTTCAGTTGGATTCCGGAGTATGTCCTACGTCTCTTCTTCTACCGCGATCTCTACGACATTTCACCAGCACCCAACAGCGGAAAGGGTCTCTTCACCGAAACACCGATGGTAAACGACTCAGTCCTCGACCTCATCCGCTCAGGTGAAGCATCATGGCTCCGCGGCGATATCTTGGGCTACGACGAGTCTGGCACCGGCATCAAATTTAACAAGCGCGCACGAGGTGTCCCCAAGAACGGACCTGGGTCCGAGAAACTGGTCGAAGCCGACATCGTCATCACGGCGACCGGTTACAAGCGTCCAAGCCTAGGCTTCCTCCCAGACGAGGTCTTCAACGAGCCATATGAACCACCAAACTGGTACCTCCAGGTCTTCCCACCAGATCACCCTTCCATTTGCGCAAACAACTGCACTTACGTCAACGCCATCGGAACGGTCGGCAACTACCACATCGGCATCTACACGCGCTTCCTACTCATGTACCTCGTCGACCCACTCGCTCGGCCGCGTACTTGGTGGATGAAGCGCTGGATCGATATGACGCGGTTCATCAAGACCAAGGCTCCCGGTGGCGCTTTCGACTTCTTCACGTACTCGGAGCTCATCTACTGGTTCTTGTTCACGATCGCGATCAACCCGTTCAGGTGGAAGTGGGCGGCTTTTGTGTTGTGCGGTATTGGTAAGGGATTGCCGTTGAGTGTGGTCGAGCAGGAAGACAGGGCAAGGGATGGCCTGGGTATGAGGCATATTTTAAGCAACCATGATAACGGGGAGGATTAGACGTGTATCGAAGCGCGATGTAACCGTAGATGTTTAATTCGAGAGGTTCTTCTACCCCAAATATATGCTCGGGAGATTGTAACCATCGTGCGCAATATGGTTTAATTTGTACCGCTGTCTTGCTGGGTGTCTGGTTGCTTCGTTCGTGGGGGTGACATGTCAACTTGACTCCACGGGTCGCATCAAGGCTCTGATCCCTTCTCTCGCGGCATCTAGAACATCATTCAAGTAAACTTTCGGCTTCCAAGGGTGGGAGTGACGTGATCTCATGGACCCTTACATGCGCTTCCGAGCTTCTTCAATTTGCCATACGATGCAATCTCTCAACTAGACCACCTAAGCAAACTTTCGGCATTCCAGAATGGGAGTGACGTGATCTCCTGGACCCTGACAGCCGCTCCCGAGCTTCTTCAATTTGACTCACGATGCAATCTCTCGACTAGAACACCATCTAAATAAACTTTGAGCATCGCAGGGCGGGGGAGGCGTGATCTCAAAGACCCTGATGACCACTTCTGTAGTTCCTCGAAATGACAGACGATCCAATCTCTCGATTTAGCAAGCTTTCGGCATCCTAGGATGGAATTGACGTGATCTCAAAGACCCTGATGACCACACCCGTACTTCCTCAAGATGACATCGGATGCAATCTCTCCACTAGAACACCACCTAAGCAAAGTTTCGACATCCCAGGGTGCGCGGAACGTGTTCTCAAAGATCGGTCCAAGGTTATTTCCGCTCCCGAGCCTCTTCAGTCTGTCGACGATGTCACGATGCAATCTCTCAACACAGATCACATGATCTAGGTCCGCGAAAACGAAGCACGTGCAACGCAAGTTGCCTGCTGTAAGAATGAAGCGGGCTTACCAGTCATTAAATATTGCAATCTTGCTCTGTGAGGTTACTGTCTACCGTGTTCACTAAGAAAAGGAGCAGGCGGTGAGGTTTTCCTATCGATATCGCAGATTGCATGGTCGGTGCCTCTGCCACAAACTCCACCCCCTTTTGCACATTTTGAAAAGTTTGCTCGGATGCTCATAATTTTCTGACTCTTGAGGGTATTCGGATGATACGAATAGAGTTGTGCAAAGAGGGACCGGCTGGGTACACATGAGGCGCGTCTGACCCCATGCATCGCCATGGCAACAGTGTTGCAAATGCGAAAGGCGCCGGGCAAAACCACACCGTCATGCGGAGGGATGAATCGCAAAGATTGGCAACGGACGATATGCGCGAGGGTATGTTTGGAAAATCATGAGGATGTACCCCGCGGGAAGACGAAACCGCGTTGCAGATTTAAATATACCCTTCTTTGTGGTGGTAATCTGAATCTGACGATGCGGATGCTCACCGGATGTCCCCGCAGTCACAGGCTGAAAGGGAAAGCGCATGTCACAGCGTCCCGCGTTGTCTCAGGAATCGCACCTTCCGAAAACGCCAGGCCGCAAGCGAAGGCGCCGCATGCATCGATGTGAAACCCGTGCTTCTTGTTGGACGCCGAACCCTCGAGGTACATTACTATAGTAACTATAAGTGAATCTTTGTCACACGAAAGAGGGTCTGATGTGCAACGTGCTGGCCGAGAACGGGATGCACGCGACGCAAGGGATTGAATTTCCGAGATGGCTGATACTGGTGAACGCTTCAAGGAGCTCCAGGAGCTGTCTGGGTTTTCATGGTGAGTGACCCTCGGGCCCGAAACATGTCCCGCGATGTGTCTTGAGAATCATGGGCAGAGTTTTTCTTCACACAGAGTGTCCACCATGATGAAGCTCTTACTGCACATCATGTCGGATGCGTCCGGCCAGGTGCTGACACGATATGGACGACGAGACACCATGACAAAGAGTTACGGCTAAGCTGCCACCAGTGACGAGAGTGCAGATTTTCAGGGTCTCGAAACGCGAGGCCTGCTCTGGCGGCGTCGTGAAGCGGGTCCCGAGGTCTGGGGTATATGACGCAGACCCTGTGGTGAGACTCGCCTTCACCTATTTAGGTCAGGTGATGGCGCGAAGTCGGTTGTTTGTGTATACGAAGCTCGACGCGTCGCACCTGGCGACGAGACGATGGTTTTTCGAGGCGCTTGCAACAAGCGCCACAGGCTGGCCGTGCGAAGGCTTGTCGTGTGTCTGGCGGTCCACAAAAGGAGGGGTCAGCCCGTTGGTGGTGGGGTCCAGCCGATCGTGTGCCGTTATGAAGGTTTTGTGCAGACGTGTGGTGGGCAGAGCCGCCGTTCTCGAACAGCGACTCAGCTCGCCTCTAAATGGCACCACAGCAACTATGACAGCGGCCCCCGGCCTCTCCGACAGCCATGTCGGGTCTGCGCTGACGTCTGTTGTTGTTGTCATGTTGTTGCGGCTCTTAGCGAGGGTCGGTGGTCGACAGGTCGACAGTTGTCTGAACTGGTTTGCAGCAGTAGGCGCAAACAGGCGGCCGAGAATAGCAAAGTTGGCAGTTCATCTCAGCCTTATTGCCTATGACGTTTGCAACATGTCGCCATCGCGATCCCAGAGGGGAGAGCTCGATCGCGAGCACGGGACTAGAGCGGTAGCGCGTTGGATGGAGCCATTCCTGTTTTATGCAGCCGCTTAGGGCTAAGGGGATCAGAGGGCGAACGGGCCGGGGTGAGCTCACGTCGTCAAGCCAGCGGCGCCTGCGACGTCGGTCTCGCTGCACCGAATACAGTCTGAAAATCTCCCGCCCGCCCAATGAGTCGCCGACAGAGGAGGCAGCCAATGGGCACGCGTGCAAGCCATGTTACAGCGAGGCGGTTCCCTGGCAGCGACGCCAAGGCTCGTCGCTGGGCCGTACGATGACGAAAGCATGCGCAGATGCAGACCGAGCTTGCCTGATCAAAACAGCTCGCGCTTCGTGAACGAGGCTGGAGATGGGGTAGATGATGCCGAATCTAGCCAGCGCTCTGCCGTAGCGTGCATAGAATCTGGATAGTCACGATAGTGTACACGATGGGCAGAGAGGGGTCGCCGTTCGGTAGCGAGTGCAGCTGGTTTCCCTGGGAGACGGTTGGTACGTTACGCAGGACGGCTAGACGCTCCACGCAGCCCACGCAGAACCACTCCGAAGGGAGAAATTCTCTCGGCGGCGCGAGTTTAGGCGGAGAGCGAACGTATGGTTTCACGTATCGTGCTGGGCTTACAGGGAGCATCCATTCCGCTTGCGTCTGACCCGTGCCGAGCTAGGCAATTGCTTCTCTGGCAACCATGGCAGGAGTGCGCTTTGGCTGCTTTGTCGAGCTTTATCTGAGATCGAGGCCGGACTGAAGCAGCGCGCGTTGGAGCAGTGTGGCCGTGATGCCGTGCCGTGGTGCTATTCAATGGGTACTGCGCGAGGTGGAACAGCTGCGAACGGTTGTTTACGGGCGTGCAGCGTGACTTAGCTGCAGCTGCACGGCGACTACGCGACAGCCTACGCGTGGGATCGCGATCAAATCATGGGCCGGTGTACCTGCGGCGGAATTAGAGGCTGCGGATCAACAGCACCGCTTGGGCGTGGGTGCATAGCCGGGCAAGCAAACTCCAGTCCCCAGTATTCTTTGTCCCGTGCTGAGCAGTGAGGCCTCCGGTGTGTGCAAGCGCCTAGCTCTCAAGCCCACGCCCTGGTCGTCGGCCCTAACCTGGCCCAGCAGCGGGCTACCCCAGCAACCACGGCATGCTCAAATCCAGTGCGTGACCGGGCTCCGCTTCTCTCTTCTCTACCCTTCTCGTCCCCAAGAAGGCCCAATCCCCTCTTAAGTTGGCTGAGCGGATCTTGGACGACGGTTATCGCCAGTATCACTACGGCAAGAGCTACCTCGTTCACCATCCACCTGCCGACCCTCTCCCGGACCCTCCCAGCCTCAGCCTCGCCCATGTCCGGAGCCCGCCTGTAGCATCTCTACCGACATCGACACCATCACCACCAGCATCTTCAGAGATTGGAATTAGCTTTCCTGTCTTGTATGCTTATCGCCAGTATTGCATCCTCCCGTCCGACATCACTTCAGACCCGACGTGCAAACGCTCGCTCCGCCCGTTGCCCGGTACGACGATAGCCACGACCAACACGAAACCTATCCACCATGGAGATGTCTTCGCCGCTCGCCGCCATGCACCCGCCGCCCATCCCCGGCCCCTGGGGATACCGCCGTGACCTGCCGCAGTCGAAGCCGCTGTTTGGAGGAGCACACAGCCTGGGCCCCAAGAGCTTCAACTTCCGCGACCTCAGCATGAAGAAGAGTGGGGGAGACTACTTCACCCTGCAGCCCATGCGAGGCTCGTCACCCACCACCAGCCTGGCCGCCGACATGTCGAGCAACCTGCACATGGACCAGAGGTACAATCCCTCCTTTGTCCCTTTGATATTGGCAGCACACTAACGCGCTTGTTTCAGCCCCCAGCTCGCCACGCCGCGTCGGTCGCTCTTCACGTCGAATCTCTTTCACCAGATCGACACCCGGGGTAAGTGGCTGCGCACTCCAAACTGGAAGCACAAGGGCTAACAGGCACAAACAGAAACCACGACCCCATTGGCTCGATGGGAAGGCGTTACGACTCCGCCAATTCCCTCGTCCTCGCCCGGCTTTGCACCAGACTCCATGGACATCTCGCCTCTTCCCCACAAGGCGCCCTTCAGCTTCATCAACGACCGCTGCCTGCCCCTACCCTCTCCCTCCCCAGAGGTTACCCCCGGCTCCGACAGCGACATGCTCACCCCATGTGACGAGCTACCCACCCCACCCACATACTCTACGCCCTCGCTCGAGGTTCCCCGACCCGTGTCAGCCGCCGACCGCCGAAAGTCCAATCTTCTCAGGCCCTCTCTTGCGCGCCACAAGAACTACTCCACTAACACTGTGTCGTTTAAGGACCAAGACAAGCCATCGAGCACTCCGCTGCCCGCCTTCCAGTTTGGCTGCGGTGACTTCACCCGGAACTCGTCTTCACTCAGCTTGGACGAGTGCTTCACTGCTTCGCCTCCCCAAGAACGTCGTCCTACTTCCA